AACATTGACCTTGTGAGTATGAAAGTTCCACTCAGGTCCTGATAACTTCTGGTAGTGACTTGCTCTTGTTTTGTTTTTTGGGATAACAATGTTAGCTGCTCTAGGTCTAACATGAATAGATGTATCTAGATTGTTGTATCTTTTCTCTTGTACATTTTTCTATAATACATGCTACATTTATGCATTTATTTTTGTGTGACATTATTAACCCTCAATTTCTTTGTAAGTACTGTATAATCACCTTTTGTAACTTGTTCAGTGTGTTTAAAAGATACTATCATTGTCTCCTTTTTTTTCTATTGGGGTTAAATATTACAAGATGGTCTGAGAATGACTTCCAAATGCCAATTCAACAATTTAAAATGTCTCAGAAATACAATATTCCAGAACTTGTCATAAAAAATGGAGATGAAAATTAATACAATACAAGAACCTAAAGCTACATATGAGGTTTTATGGAGAAAATAGGAATTGTGTATTATTGTTATATTGTTATGCTGCTTTTTTGCATTGCCTGTTGTTGCACATTACCATGTTGCTAGTAGCTTTCCATTTCTTATTCTCTTTGATCAACCTGCACAGATTTCAACAGATCTTATATCCCTATTTCTAGTTTCTTTGGTGTCAACTGCATAGTTATATTGTGCTAAAGTTCAAGTTAATATTCAACATAAAATGCACCCTGCTTTATTGTTATTTATAAATGTATTTACTCTAATTGAGTTGGGATTTGAATAAAATGTTAGAAGTTAACTTGGTATAAGTCTGCATTTTTGTGTAGATCCCTGTAACAATTATTGGTTCATGTCAAACTTTACTTTTTTTAATTTAATACTAGCACTTGTCAGAATCTTTTCTATTTAGGACATTTCAGAAATATGTCTTATTTGATATTTACTGCTATATTTCATTAAGTCATGCATCTTTTACCAAAACATTCGAATTTGTTTTTTTGGAAATGCTTATATACTTTTCTTTTGTTAAGTGTTTTTTTTGTTTTTAAGGAGAACTTTTTTCTGCTTAGAACCTTTTGCATTAGAAAGATCAACATTATCATATCATGTTGAATAATTGTGTAAAGATTCTCTTGGACCAGCTGTCACATATTTATTGTATTGTGACATATTTGGTATGTTATTGCTAATATTAATTGCATTTGGCTCGGCGGATTCATTCAGGATGATATTTCTGTAGGTTGGTGAGTCTGACCTGAAGTTGACGGAAGGGATAACTTTGTACTCTATTGTTTCAGATAATTATGCAAAGCCATCAATTCTTGGGCCACTGATAAAAGTAAGTGGTTAACAACCACATCCACTTAGCTTCCTTCTCAAATTGGGAATCACACAGCCTATTGGATCTTTCGAATTTAGGTTTTTTGAGATACAATTTTTTTAATTTCTTTGCAGGAACATGCTAAAGGAGGTAAATGCATTGTATTTACTCAAATAAAACATGATGCGGATAGGTTGGCTTATGCTGTGGGTCGGAGGTTTGGATGTGAGGTTCTTCATGGAGACATCTCACAGAGTCAGAGGAAAAGGACACTAGTGGGGTTTCGGGATGGCTGCTTTAATATTTTGATAGCTACTGATATTGCAGCTCGTGGTTTAGATATATATACCTAATGTTGATCTGGTGAGCATATTTTTTCTTATTGATTTGCTATTTTAGTGACATTTATCCTCACATGTATGAGCAGGGCTCTAGTCCACAGTGGATCCATATGTTTGACATGTGCAGCCAAACTTCACTGACTTAAATAGTTAGTCTAGATAACTGTTGGTGTATGTTTATGCTGTGATTTTTTTGCTAGATACCTCCTATTACCTTTTTCAGTGTTTTAGTTCTTTTCTTTTTTTTGTCAATAATAAGTCATGATTGACTCTCATATCAGAATTTGTTCTTTTACTAATTTTTTGGCCAGGTGATACATTATGAGTTACCAAACACATCTGAGTTATTTGTTCATAGATCTGGTCGAACAGGCCAAGCTGGCAAGAAAGGAATTGCAATTCTTATACACTCGTATGAGCAAAATCGACTTGTTAGAGGCATTGAACAAGATATTGGTTGCAGGTTTATTGAGGCAAGTTATTCCTTTTATGATGTCAAACTATGTGAACTATTGGACCAACTAACACAATGTGTTATTTACATTGACTTATTTTAGCTTATGCAAAAAGGTGGTATTGGGTGTTTATTCTTTGTGTTCTTCTGGTCAGAGCTTAGAGGTATCAGTGTAACTTTGGGCTTCTGTCAAAGAGTGGTTGCATGCCTTAACATGCCTACGTATTTGTTAATTCCTGCAGAAATTTGAATTATTATCTTCATCATTCTTGAAAGAGCATGATTACCATTCAAGTAAAAATTGCATGTTACTCTAAAAAACAAGTCTTTCACATATATTCTACAAAATGTTTATGGTCTACTCATAATGACTGTGTTTGGTTAGATTCCATCATTAAATTGAATGGATTCAATTTATGTAGCTTGAAAGGACCCTTAAGCCACCTCTATATGATATTTGTTTTTTTAGCTCTATCATGCAGATTTTACATTATAATTACTGTGATGGATATTTTGATCTTTCAATTGTCATTTGCAACCTGAGCAGACTCGATCCATGTAGGTGCAACACTAGCTACTGTTTGTTGCATTTTTGGTAAAAATAGGGGCATCTTGGGGTTTTTGGTTATATAGGATATTGTGGTTCGTTTCAGAGCTAGGATATTTTAGATTCTTTGATGATTATAAAAAAAAAAGGAAAAAACAATGGAGGTTAGAATTGGTCATTCAAAAACAAGAACAGTAAGCAGATTGTAATCAGCTGAATCAAATGGTATGAATTGAAGGATTTTTGGTTTTAGTTAAAAAATAGAAATTGAAGGAAAAACAAAATTTGGGGAGTATTACAAGAAAAAGAGAAAAGAATGACAATCTCCACAATATTCTAAACTGATGAAATTACACAGAGTTTCTTTTTGCTAAACAACATAACAACTGTAGTTTTATCTCTAATATTTAATTTCAAATTTCAATAGAATCATAACTTCTTGTTTTTTTCCCAGAATACAAATTCACTATCTTTACACTATAACTGTCCTTTGTTCTGTTATAAATCATTATTTATTTTATGTATCAAATTCATTGGAAGAAAATAAAGGTTTCTAGAAGTTAGAAAGAATAACTACAATATTTCTAAAGATTAGGAAAGGCATTGTTTTTAATGATTCAAAAGAGTTGAATAATAAAATTTCTCATATGTAGGTTAAAAAAATTTAAATTACCATGCTATTTGAGAAACTCTGCTGTTTTGTTTTGTTTCTTTTACTTCTTTTCATCTTCTCAAGGATTTCAACTTCTTAGCTTTCAATGATTCCACCTTTTAGCAACACAGTGCCCACCATTGGATCAGTCTTACATCCCTTTCTTCTCGAGGGATTGAGTGAGCCCCCGTCCCACCTCTTTTTCTCCTGTTACTCACCTCTGTTCCTTTACTTTTCCTCATTTTGTTCATCTCTTTCTGTAAGTATTCTTGCTTACTATAATTTATGCCAAACAGATATAACGAGTAAAAACTTCCGGAAGAGTTTTATCACGGCCCTCATTTTTCGTTCATTTCTGTTTTCCTTCTGTCAGTTCTTTACTACTTGCTGGCTTCTGAATGACTACCAGCTGATGTATGGTCTTCATTTTTAAGCTTCCGAGGATTACAGTTGAGGATGGAGATGAGGACATGATTGGAGGTCGTTTTGATTCATATGGAAGTGGCCGAATGGGTGGTTCAGGTTTTGCTCGTGGTGGAAATTATGGTGGTTCTGGTTATGGCTGTTCTCGTGGTTTCGGTGGTTCCGGCAGCTTTGGAGTTTCCCCGAGCCGCACAGGTGGTGGTTCACGTAATTTTGGTTCCTATGGTGGGCAACCCTCAGGGCCATCAGGCGGGTTCGGTGGTTCCAGTTTTGGACACTCGGGTGCTTTTGTAGACTCTGTTTCACGTCGTCCTGGCGACTTTGGTGATTCTGACCCCGGGCATTTCGGTAGTAGCTTTGGCGAGTCTGACTCAGGACTATTTGCTGGTTTTGCCAACTCTGGTCCTCGTCGTTCTACCAGGTTCCACGACTCCAGCCTGAGCTGCCCAGGTGACTATTGTGGATCTAATGGAAGTAGCTTTGGTGGAGGTCCTAGCAAGGAAGGATACTGATGAATGTTGGCTGGCCGACAAGATCGTTTAGGGATTCATCTGAGACTAGTAGTCTAGTTTTCTTTTGTCCACAAGAACTAGTTCATATTTAGATGTTGGTACCAGAGGCTTTGTCTCTCGGGGAGTTATTGCTAACACTGCACCTGCAGAGGCAAACCAGCATCCATCTCATGTCAGCCAGGATCCTTGAACACCTAGAATCAACTTCATCAGGTTCAATCTTGTTTTCCAATCATTTTTTCTTTTCCACTTTAACCCGATAGGTGGCCTTAGAGAGATGCAGATGCAGCAGTGAGATGTTGCTGTTGCATTGGTGTGTTGTTGGAAATTTATTTGCCTTTGGATGGAACAACTGGCCAGTTCATTACACCTTACTCCGAAGAACTATTCATCTAGACTTCCGCGACATATAAAATAAGGTAAATATAATTTAGATTTTCGATTTCAACATCAAATTCGTTTGAAATATTGCCAGTATCCGGAGTTCAGATATAATTAATGTAGTGGATTTTACACATATACACTTGCAAAGTTTTGATATATCGTATTTTTCATTGCGACCTTTATCATATGTAGTGATGTATGATGTACAATATTTAATCTAATCTCATCGCAAGTTTTGACAAATAGTTATGTTACAAAATATGATTGCATATATATGCAAATAGTTTTCAAGAATATATATATATATATATATATAACGGCGCCCGGCCTCACTGTGGGTCCCATGGTGGGTAGAAAGAAAAGAATACTAAGACAACGAAGGCACTGCTATATTTAAATCATATATTGTATTATATTTCTTTGGAACGGCGACGGCAACGGCTAGCTCGTTTGCCCGTTGCGCTGGAACGTGCGATCTGCTCAAGCCTCGGGCGAGTGTAAGCGGAGCGACTGAGAGGGGCCGCTCCACCCTCGCGATCTCCCACTCCCCATCTGAGGTTTCTAGCCTTCTCCCCGCTGATTTCTCCTCTCCGAGCCCTCGTTCTCTTTGCTCGGCTAAAGCGACTAGCGAGGACCAACCATGAACATCTTCAAGAAGAAGACCTCCGCCAAAGGTGATGCATCTCAGCTTGCTCGGATGGACTTGTTAAAATTTCCCTCTTTATCTCTTATCTTCGAACGCTACGTTGCTTTACGGGCCTTCCTTTCTTTTTCCCCGCCAATGGAAGAAAGAATCGGGGTTTTCGGATTTGTAATTCGACTTGGTTTTCGTTTTTTGGGTTTAGCAGGTAGGGTTTTGCATTTTCTCTTGCTTGCTTCGATCTTGAAGGTTACTTCGAGGTGAATTTGATGTCATGCTCGTTTCTCACCTCCGCAGATTCTCTTAGGACCAGCAAAAGAGAAATGACGGTCGCCACAAGAGGTAAGAAGTCTCGTCTAGACTTTTGCTCTGGAGATGAGTGTGTTTCTGTGTTTTTCAGCTTATGATGGAAAGGTCGAACTTGCTCTGTAAGCATTAATATGTTCTTGAAACTTTGACTTTGCTCTGTTCCACTGACTGGCCTCAACTAAAGTCGGAAATGAAGTGCCAACGACTAATTAGAGACCCGACGTGATTTGCTATTATTATTATTTTCATATTATTATTTTCTTGGCTTCAGGTGTGGAAAGGGAGATCGGTTCCCTGAAGTTAGAGGTTTGTTAATGCAAACTGTGATACTTGAATAATTTTCTACGAATTTTCTGGCTATTTATTCTTACTCAAAAGACAATCATTGCAGGAGAAAAAACTGGTTGCAGAGATCAAGAAGACTGCACAAACTGGGAATGAGGCAATCTTCGCCACTTAATTTACGTTAATTTTCTTATCTAATCCAACTTGATCATTGCTGTTTGTATCATTTGTGCTTGCCAGTACATTCTTTGTTTCAGAAGTATTCTTGGTTTTATTAGGCACACACTTCATTTGTCATGCTTCTGTAATCCAATATCAAAAAATAGCTTCATTCTATTATTCATTTTTGTATTAGATTCTGAATTGAGGAATATTAATGACTTATTTGGTTGTTTATGCCTTTTGCAGGCTGCCACTCGGATCCTTGCTCGTCAGCTTGTTCGTCTGAGACAACAAATTACTAACTTGCAGGGAACTCGTGCACAAATTAGAGGCATAGCAACTCATACGCAGGTCAGCAGTTTGACTTCTAGATTTGGTCATGAAACTACCATTCTCTTCAATGATATGTCAACAATATGTGGAAAAAAATTGAACCATTCATGCTTTCTAGGCAATGTATGCAAGTACTTCAATTTCCACAGGAATGAAAGGTGCAAGCAAGGCAATGGCAGCAATGAACAAGGTAAATCAGAAACATAAATTTTAATGATCTGACATGCATATCTTCTTAGAATAACTGGAACGTAGCAATGATTTTCTTACATGTTGAGATGTATCATGCTACCAGCAAATGGAACCGGCCAAGCAGGCAAAAGTGATGACAGAGTTCCAGAAGCAGTCAGCACAGATGGACATGACGGTAACAGATGCAAAAAAATTAACCGATTTTCACAATTTTTCTAAATCTTATCTTTAATACAAGCTTTGTGTTATCAAGAAATTGCATTGTCTTGCAGTAACTAAGCAGATTTTTTATTTATGGCCATCTCTCTATCCGCCCTTCTGCTGCTTATTCATAGAAGATGTCATTTTCATTTCCGAACACTAATCATCTAGGATTTATACGTGCCTTGTACTTGATGAAATTATGAGAACTGATCATTTTCTCCATTGTTAGGGCTTCTAGTTTAAAACATCATTTTTTTTTTTTCATTTCACTTGATATTTTTTGCACAAATTCTTTGTCTCAAAACAAGAAAGGAACCGAAACTATATTGCATAAAACCTTCTTCCAGATACATTATCAATATGTGTCATAATGCCAAACTTGCCACATGCTTCTCTTGCCTCCCATGCTTAAGCCTTGTGTTACCAGACACTAACCTTTGTTACCATTTGGTATTGGATCATTGATGATGTTTGCTTTTTCGTTTATAGAAATTCTTCTCAAAGAGTACCTTGTAGAAGTTACTCTTAGAAAGCATTTTTCACAATTTTCACATTTGTAAAGTTCATCCTTTTAAGCATGGGCTTTGCATGCTTCCTGATATGGATTACAATTTTAAAGCATAAGCAATCTTTGTAACTTAAAGAATTTACTTATAGACTTCTGCTTAGCTGTTAAGCACTTTCACATCAAGTAGCCTCCGGAAACACTATTTATAAATCATTGATAGATCCCAAAATACTCAAGCAACGTCAAACTTGCTTTTACTTGTGTAGTATAAAGCACACAGTACACTTATTTACTATTGCTTAGTGACCACAGGTTATGGGTAAGGCCTCCTCTTATTAGTGGTTAGAATAAAATTGGGCTCCCAGGTACTTATGTTGGTGAGGATTCTCGTCAACCATTTGATGCTTAAGTCTGATGGAGAATGATGAGTAGCAGCTCATTTTTCAACGCATTGTTTTTTGCAAAGAATTTTGGTGCAGAGTATTTCAATGAATGAAGAGCTGCTGTTGGGTCCCAACTATATGGTGACAATTATATGGATCTTTTCTCACAGTTGAGCTCTACTGAGGTCACTATCACTAATCAAACTTAAGAGCCATAAAAATAATCTTTGATTGTTTTTAGTAAACTTTTCTTTGGTACATATACACAATTTCTCTTGCCTGGATAATTATTGAAATCTCTTATGTGTTTAAACATGCCATAAACATGCACTTATGAAACATATTCATCTATTTGTGAAGATTGAGATGATGTCCGAGGCTATAGATGAAACTTTGGATAAAGATGAGGCAGAAGAGGAAACAGAAGAGCTCACTAACCAGGTAAGCTGATTTTTTTTTTTTTTGCATTATAGCATCATATTTAGGAATGGCAGTGAACCTATTCTTGCAACGAGGAAAAGTAGTTACCTTTTGTTTCCAGTTTCAGTTGTAGTTTCACTATGAAGTTCTAATCTTAATTATGTTGATGATCTTATGTAGGTGCTCGATGAAATTGGTGTTGATGTTGCCTCACAGGTAACTCTTCTGCTTGTCTATATGGTGTGTCATTGGGGTAATCCTCTTCATTGTTATACAAAATTCGACACTGATAGGGCATTCTATCTTCTACCTTCTTGCAGTTATCTTCAGCACCTAAAGGTCGGATTGCAGTCAATAACAAGAAAGTTGACACTGCCTCAAGGTACGAAGATTGTCTAACTAGCCAATAAACACTGGACAATTATGATCAGGCCATGAATATTTTTATAGTTATTTTTTTAAAGAACTGGTATCACATTAGTCTTTTTCCTTCATTTTAGTTCCTTTCCTTAAAGGCATTCTAGTTCATGCTTTTGACATTTTACTGATCCCATGTGCAATGTTGTTCTAGCAGTAATTACTTTGAGCATCAGATATGTCTTGTGGAATCAAGTTGTAGTAGTCATTCTTCATACTCGGTATAAACACGGGCTACTCCATTGCATATTCAAACGTGCTTTTTTGGAGTCCCTCTAAATCTTTCCATGTGTGTACTTGTTATCATCAATAAAGGTATTCCCTAGTAAAAGATGTGCAAAACTTGTTTGCTAGAGGGCTTCTTGTCATCCTTCATAGTTCTCCTTCCCATATCCTGTATTCTGATGATTATCAACTGGCTTGCAGAAATGTAGCTCCAGAGAAACCTGCAGTTGATGACCTAGAGAAGAGGTTGGCATCCCTGCGACGCATCTGAACGGCTAAATCTCTTCCGATGGTTTTGTATGTAAAGATCATTTTCTCGGACAGATCGTCTCATGTTGTCGATAGAGAATTAGTCATATCTATTGTTTTAGGCATACCCTATAGTTCTTATGCAAACTACATGTACACTTTGGAGCCAAGGACAATGTTGAAACCTGTTGGTGATTCAGAGCTGCTGCTTCTCTGTTCTTGTGAATTTGTTAAATCAAAAGAAATAGTGCTCTGTCGATCATATAAACCCAGTGTGTGGATATATAAATCCGAAAAAAATCCATATATACCCTGGATAGAGAATTACTGCTCTATCTTAGCAGTGGTACAAAAGTTTCCTAGTGAGTTCTTCCACTGCAGCTTCTACTACTGATTCAATATTAAATACAGAGTTTTATTGAATCAATCTGGTTTGATTTTGGTCTAACAAATTGGTTCAACCTAAATAAATTAGGCTTAATTAGGATCAACGGATATTAGAAATTTTTTATAATTTTATCAAACATATTTGATCCTAATATGAAAAAAGGGATGTCTCTTAGTAAAAAAACAAATATGAAGAGTAAAACTGTATAATTGGATTTTTTTTTTAATAAATTATTCAAAAATATATTTAGTATTATTATCATTATAATAGTTAGGTAATGAAGTTTCTAAGACATATGTGCTTAGTGAATTAACTATGAGAATCTATAATTATGTATTTAGGTGATATAGGATATACATATTTGCTAAACTTAAATTAAAGGGATACATATATTATATAATTTGTATTATAAAAGCCCCACATTTAGTCCACTTACACCTAATTGTATGGCTAATACTATCTTTATGAGGTATGCATACAAAAAAAAATCTATGTATAATATTTAATTTCCCAATCTCTTCAAATCTTCAACCTCGAATTTCTAGTCGGATGATTTCTCTTGAAAAAACTCTTCTTTTTTTATTTTTTTTAATAAGGCACCATTGTTTCCCTTTTTCTTAGATACTATCACCTATTTGCTATAATTTTGTAAATATAATTTTTTTTTCTTTTTTACTCGTTGCCTCCACTATCTTAGGCACGTCAGTGTCGCCCACCTATCGCCTTTGCCTTATTGATATTACTTGCTTGTTGCCTCCCCTTGCTCCCACTGTGAGGCCCTATACCTCTATATAATGCCTTTCCTACCCATCACACTCACCGCCTTCGCCCCTTGCTCCCACCACGGGGTCTTGTCGTTATTATGCAATGTCTTCCCCACTTATCATGCCCGTAGCCTCCATTCATTCTATGCTTGTGACACTTATCACCTCTGTCTCTATGCGTCTTTCCTCACTCTTCGTGTCCATCACTTTCACCCTATAGAGCAGAGGAAGAGCGAAGGTGATAGGCACGACAAGTATAGCCTCGCGATGACAAGTAGGATGTAGAAATGATAAGTGTGACGGGTAAAGAAGGGGTAAAAGTAATGGGCATGATGGGTGAGGAAAGTATCACATGAAAGCGATGAGACATCATGATAAGAGCAGGGGGCAAAGACAATAGACACGATAAAAAACAATGAAGGTAATATACGAGAAAGGAAAGCGTCACACACAAATGTGTGAACTCACGAGGATAAAGACCGGAAAGAGAATAGATGAATATTTATAAAATTACAATAAAAGAGAATAGATGAATATTTATAAAATTATAATATATATATATATATATATATATATATATATATA